GATAATGTTTATTTTTATAATAATAGTAATACTAATTAGTAATAATAATAATAATGATACTTATAATACTAGGCCTACTTAATAATAATAGGGTAATAATATCGATAATAAAGGTGACAACAACAACAATAATATTAATAATAATAATATGAGAAAATACTAATAAAACGCCCATAACAACAACTTTTTAAATTACTATTATCAAAATTATAATACTAAGACTAATAAATAATAATAATAATAAAAAATCGAAAATTATTTATTATTTATATGGTACTGTAATAACAATATATAAGGTTGATGCTAAGACTAATAATTAATATTAAAACTAACGGTAATAAAAGCAACAATAACAATAACTACAATGACAACAATAATAACAGCAATAATAATAACAATTAGTACAATGTAGTACCAGTAAATGACTTGTGGCCGAGATGTAAGAGTCTGTCTCTTATACACATCTAGATGTGTATAAGAGACAGTGCATACACCACCGATTTGAAATCAAAATAGTAATCAATAACTACTTCTATAAAACATGAATATTATTGAGGGTCCTGCTGGCTGTCTTATTCTTCAATTAGAAATTAGAAATTGTTTTAGATTGTTTTACGTATATCGCCGTGCCTGGAAGTTACACTCTCATACTTCAAAAACCTTACTGGTAAGCTCCGTCTGCATCCGCCCCAGCTTGTCTGTTAGGTTGTTCTTTTGTGTTCTATTATAATTCCTACCATAACAACATTGGCTAGTTCGACTAAACACCCCAATTCATTGATTGTTTTAGACTGTTCATCATTCAATTAAAAGTGTTAACCAGTTTAACAATGGCTTCCATTGTTCTTTAGGATCACCTATTGAACTGGCCATTAAAAGGAAACATCAGCAGCCTTTTGTTTAGTGTAGACGAGTAGCATGGAGGTACTTTTTATACCTTCAAAGTAGTAGTAAATTTTATTTGCTGTAGCAACTACGTAAGTATGACAACCTGTATTAAACAATTTCCATTCTAATTGTGTAAAGATATACTGGCTATATTGAGCCAAAAACAAATTCTGAAAAATAAATTCATCATTTATGAGTTAGGTATGCAGGTATTCTAGTCACTGGGACGTTAGTAAATGAGTGCCTCTACCTCCTAATGCTAAGTTGGGTTTACTTTATGTGGTTCATCAGGACACTAAAGTAAAGTAATGTTGTGTATTCCAAAATTAGTGAAAGCAAATCCATTATAAAGTTGTTGTTTTTTTTTCTTTTGTTTCTCCTCAGACAGTCTGATTTATATACAAGCTTCACTAGAGTAGAAACAATACATTTCAATGGCTGCCTTGTTGTCTGAAAATTTTGAGGATGAAGAGCTTAAAATGCAGGAGGCTTGTGGGATATTTGGGTGCGTAGCTGCTGGTGATTGGCCAACACAACTTGACGTTGCGCATATTATTCACCTGGGATTAATCGGACTGCAGCACAGGTGAGTGAGTAGTAAGAAAATAAGTGCCACACCAAACCTGATTTTTTTTTGCCAAGCGCTGCTCTCAAATAAGCGCAGCAGCGCTTAATCAAGCGTGTAATTATTACCTGTGTGTAATGAAACACTTTGAGAAACAGGGTTTTAAATACAATGTATACAATGTTAAAATAAATAAATAAAAGGCACAAGCATTTCTTTATAAACATTCATTTACGATGACGTAGGACCTATGATAGGCCTACTGAACTACAGGAATACGCGAGATGAAAGCAACACACCAATATTTTCTTATAAGAGCCACTCTTGAATAAGCGCCGTGCTGCTGAAAATGTTATAAGTGCCGCAAGCGCTTATTTGAGCATTTACGGTATAATGATGATAGTGAGATAATGTTTATGGTGAAGGATCGTTGACGTGCCTAAAACAACATGATAGCATTTTCTTTTTTTTACCACAGGGGTCAAGAGAGTGCCGGTATTGTGACCTACAACTCTGAAAATAAGGAATTCCGGAAGCATAAAGGAATGGGAATGGTGAATTCCATCTTTAAACAGGACGCCCTGCTCCGAATACAAGGCGAGATTGGAATTGGGCATACACGGTACTCTACGGCTGGAGCATCATCGCTGATCAATTGCCAACCATTTGATGTTGATACAATTCATGGAAGAATCGCAGTTGCCCACAATGGAGAGTTGGTCAACAAAGCTTCATTGAGAAAGCAGGTGAGATAGTTAATATTATATCAAGGTTAAGTCCCTCTCTCAACCAGGTTGATTTCTTCCAAAAGTCGCAGAAGTTCTATGAGTAAAAAACTCCTGATCTAATTCGCTTGGGAAAGGACCTCTATACAAGCTTACTACGTGTTAGCTACAAGTGAGGTATGACCTTACGGAGTTGGTTATGTACAAATTATGCTGAGCGAAGCACCAAGTTTACTACGAGCTTTACAAGATTATTACGAGCATAACAAGTTTGTACCGAATTAGATACAAGTTAGGTACGAGTCAACTTGGTGCGCTCATACTCGTACTTATTTCGGGGTGATGACAAAACCGCCGACGAGTATCCAGAGTAGTGTACGCGTTAGGTAGAAGTACCCCGAGTTACCTACAAGTTCTTCAAGTTTCAACTTGTAGTCAACTTGTAGCGCTAATTTTGAACATTTTCAAAATTAGCACCTCAAGTTCAGAGCTTCTACGAGTAGGTAAGAGTTGTCTCTATGCTTCGAGAATCGTCCTATGAGTTTTTGCTGAGTTAGCAACATATGTGTTTGTGGGACAATATGTGTGCTTGGTAAGCACGTGCATACTCCTGGCCCTCATCTGATTGGTTTGTTGTTAAGCTTGATTGGCACTTGGGAAAGGTCAATTGAAACCCAGGTCAATAAAGTGGTGCATCAAGTTAACAATGGTAGATTTCTAAAACTTATTAAGATAGTCTTTAATATGATTTTTAACAGGTATTAGAACATGGTGTTGGGTTGTCGACTGGCTCTGATTCTGAGGTCATTACACAACTGTTGACCTCGTCCCCACCAGAAGGCGAGCCAAATGGTCCGAACTGGACTGCCAGAATTCGTCAGATGATGAGGAAAACACCCACAGCATACTCGCTGCTCATAATGCATGGAAGCTCTATGTATGCAGTTCGGGATCCATATGGAAACAGGCCTCTCTGTATTGGCCGTCTGACCAGTGGCGCAACTGCAGAGGGTAAGCGTGATCTAACCAAATAGCCAATCAAATCAAAGAGAATTCAAGATATTTACATTTTCAAACAGCATTTATGAATGTTGAGAATTGTTACATCAGCTTAAGCAGCTAATTTATGCAAAAATATTTAGGCTCTGTTGAGGATAATAGGGAGATCTCGATTTGTGCGACGACGCGACGCTAGAACTCATGCGTGACCGTCATTACCTGGCGTCCTACATTCTCTGCATACGTAGATTAGGCCAAATGTGTTCCAGAATCTGCTCAACGAGGTGACCTTAACGTTCTCGCATGCGCAGATGACTTTTAGTGACGTCATTACGTTCTACGTCCTACCGTCGTTGTGCAATCGAAAGCTTCCTATTTGCATTTTGCATTTTCTTAACATTGTCAGTGCTAGTGGTTTGTAACAAATAGAAAATATTCATTTAAAAATAACTATTTACAACATTAGCCTTAAGAAAGGTATTGTTTTCTTAATGAATGTGTTTATCTTTGTATAAATTTACACAAGCAATTTTATATTTCAGAAAAAGATGTAGATATTGAAACAGAAGGATGGGTAGTGTCATCCGAATCCTGTTGTTTCCAGTCTGTAGGTGCAAGGTACTTCCGTGAAGTTGTTCCGGGTGAAATAGTTCGCCTGTCTAAAGAAGGTATCAAGTCAATGGCGATTGTTGATCGACTTGGGGAGGCACCACCTGCCTTTTGCATTTTTGAATACATCTATTTTTCACGTTCAGACACAATCTATGAAGGTAACTTTATCAATGATTTTTTTGGGTGGGGGGGGTGGGGTAGTGGACAATGCTCTTAAGAATATGAGGTACATTACAAGAGAAATGAGTAAATGAATGTACAAGAACATCAGCCTCTTTCAAGATCAAATCACAGTAACATATTTTCTTCAAAAAATTATAGTGGAGAAGAAGGCATGATTAAAAAAGAGCATGCCAAGAACAAAAAGGATAACAAGACTGCATGCTTTGGTAGTTTCAATATTTCTTAAAATTGATACTTTCTTTGCTTCAGGTCAAATGGTTTATTCAGTGCGGAGGCGCTGCGGCCAGCAGTTGGCACGTGAGGTGCCAGTAGATGCGGACCTCGTCAGCACAGTTCCGGAATCGGCAACACCTGCTGCTATTGGCTTTGCTCAAGAGGTATTTACATGCCATGTGGCCAGTGTTATGTCCCACTAATTGTGGTTGCTGTGATGATGGTGGTAGTAGTGGTGATGATGTTGGTGGGGAATAATAGAAGGGAGGGGTGGGGGGTCCATAATCGATTCTTGTTTGATGTACTGTAGCCACTTTCAGTTCTTGTGTATTGTATTTCAAACTGGCGCAGATACCAACAAAACTCATTAATATAATACAGTATAAAGGAAAATATACAATTTACAAAAATATACAATACAAACAAAAAAAGTAAGTTTAAAAGTTATAGATTAATAGTGTTTTTGAATGATGATGAATATGATGTACAAGGGACCAATGGGTAAATAATGTTTGAGACACACTTACTTGCTTACTTGATATTAGAGACTTTTGAAGCTTGCTTATGAGCCCCTCGTGCATTGGCATTAAAATTCATAATATGGGTTATAGAGTTGTTTATATTTACTCTGCAGACTGGAATTCCATACACAGAGGTCTTATGCAAGAACCGGTATGTTGGACGTACGTTTATCCAGCCTAGTAATCGGTTACGGCAGCTGGGTGTCGCTAAGAAGTTTGGTCCACTTGTAGATAACTTCAAGGGCAAGAGAATCATCCTCATTGATGACTCGGTTGTCAGGGGCAACACAATTGGACCAATAATAAAGATGTTAAAAGCGGCTGGTGCTAAGGAGGTAATTGAGATGGTTTTAAATATAAAAGTTGCTTACTGTTATGTGTATTTAAGTGAGTTTTTAACTTAATATTGAGAATTAGAACAATAAAATGTTTTTATTAGCAGTTAAATGCATAAATAACAACATTTTTATATATTTTTGTTATTTGTTACTTAGTATTTCTATAGAGCCTATTCCTTTAGGTTAAACAGCGCTTTGTTTTCCCTGGTTATTGTGCCTACATGCTTAAGTGTTGCTGCTATATTGGCGCAGTGCAGGCAACTCCACCAGGTACCCATTTAAACTCCTGGGAGGAGAGAAGCAATGCAGATAAAGTGCCTTGCTCAAGGACACAAGTGAAATGCACAGCGCGGGATTGAAACCTTGACCTCAGGGTTGGGAAACCAAACAGTTCACACTGCACCAAATGGCTTTTGTATCGACCTCCGTAATTGGCTAGTACTACTCAATTAAAAAAGTTTGTAGTAAATTTAAATTAAATTAATTTTAATCTGTTCCTCATTTTTTCAATGTAAAATATTTTATCTGTTGAACTGAAAAATTTAAAGTTTAGTTTTTAGAGTTTCTCCAGTTTTCACATCCAATATTATATGTTTAATGTTTTTCGTTATCAACAGTAGCATTTATATATATAATTTACATATTAATGCAGGTGCATATTCGTGTAGCCTCACCACCAGTGAAGCATCCTTGCTACATGGGCATCAACATTCCCACAAGAGAGGAACTAATTGCCAATCGTATGGACACAGAACAGCTTGCAAAACATTTCGGGGCGGAGAGCATCAAGTACTTATCTGTAAATGGCCTCGTATCTGCCGTTATGAAAGGTATCAAGGATAACAATAAAGAGAGCGAGAACTCAAAGTCAAGACATTGCACGGCATGTCTTACCGGCGACTATCCTGTGAGCCTCGAGTGGTAATATCGTATGAATGTGCTAAGCCTTAAGTGGTAAAATGATGTGTAATAGGCGAACTCAAGTAGCCTTGTATCTTTTTTCATATCTGGTATCTGTCATAAACAAATAGACATGCTAAAATGACCAATTTTTAAAGGTATTTTTATATTTATCTGTCATTTTTTCTTGTGGAATGTGTTGCACATGATGGTATGTTTACTTCTATTTAATTGCTTAATATTTTTGTATTTTTATTGTATTTTGACATATGTCGTAGATGGAGCACACATGATATATTGCAAAATTGAGCGAAAAAACTATCGAATATAAGGGACTGAAGGCCATTGTATCATATTTTATCCACAAGCTTATCCTTGTGCTAATAATAGTTAGTATAACAATTATAATTTAATAAATTACAATAATAATACGGTAATATATGGTAGCTCTTTGGGTGCAACCTTGTATTTATTATGTTTATCCACAAGCTTATCATTGTGCTAATATTAGTTAGTATAACAATTATAATTTAATAAATTACAATAATAATACGGTAATATATGGTAGCTCTTTGGGTGCAACCTTGTATTTTATTATGTTGTTAATATATAATGAATAGTATAGTATGAAAATCTTCATATCTTTTGATGCTGTAATAACAGGAAAACATAAAAAAATATTGAGGATTATTTAAGAGATTTTGCGTGTGCTGATAGAACAAAAATTCCATTTCTGGCCAGTTATAAAACATCACCTGAGTATTTTATGTAAAATATAAACAAATCAGATAATTTGCATTCCATTTCATAGTTGGATAATTAACCAACTTTTAGATGAATATTTTTCTATGAGGATTTAACTGCTTCTCATATGACCTGTTGCCTTGGTAACACTAATGTATGTACCGTCAGTGTGTTATTACCTGTTTTGTGTTAGCATGCACAAAAGCGAGCGAGCCAGTCGTGGGTGTAAAATGTGCCTACACGTTATATCAATCACATGGTGCCTAATAGACCAACAATGAGGCTATGCTAAATATAGTCAATAGGTGAGCCATAAAGCTATTAAAACAGTGTACTTTTTTATATAACATATGCATCACACACATTACAACTAATTATTATATATTTAACACTTTTATGAGCTTACAATTGGAATTAGTTTGTGAATGTATGCTTGCAATGTTAAATATAAGTTATACCACCAAAATTAAATCAATTTTCGAAACTTTCCAACACTTTTTCAATAATGAATAATTTGTTATCAATTTACTTGCAATGCAACTTCCGTATAATGCAATTTTAACATTTAAAACAAGACTGCTGTATAGAAATGAAAGAAAAACATACATTCTTGTGTCTTTTATTTTGTATTGTCATGGGAACTTGCTATTTTTTTATTATTTAATTTTTTATTATTTAGGTGTGGATATAATATAAAATTGTAGATGCTTACTGATGTATAAGTTCTTTAAAATGTGAGATTGCCATAAATTTAAGAAATTTATTGATTATTTAATATTGCTGTACTAATTATTACACTCATTAACTTAAGAAGCATTACACTACAATTTTGTCTGTTAATGGGGCTATTTTTTAAGATTTTGTAAGTCCAAACATGTCTTGCCCACTGTGAATGATGTTTATTGTGTGTTACTTTGTACTGTACTTGTATATTTTTTTGATTAAATGAATAAAATATACATATTTGATTGCTTTTAATACAAATCTTTATTTTTTTTCTTGTTTTTTCCTGTACTGTATTAATATACATTCAGTGTTAAAAGTGCAAAAGTAAAAATTGATATTCTTTTTACATAATTTTAAAAACATGCAGGTTCGACAGTTGAAAATATAGTTTTCTTAAAAATACTGTAAGATCAATCAACATACTGGAAGTTACAACACTATTCAAATCTGCATTTCTACCCAGACAAACTTATTTGAAGGATTTTGAAAATCATTTACCATGCACGCGCTGCGTTGTATGACTGTCGTCCGATGAATCCAACGCAACTCCCTGTGAGTGCTAGGTGATGCGACGCCTTTGGTAGCAGTCGGAACGGATCATGATTGCGTCTTCCACAGAATCGCGACGACCGTCTGGTGCAGTGAGTCTCTGCCTGAAATTGCACTCAAGCAGTTAAAAATCACCTCATTCCCCAAATAGCGCCCCCAACATTTCATCGCACCACAATGTCAAAATGCCACTGCCTTTCCCTCTCGTCATTCTGAAACAGGTTTGCAAAATTTATTGGGCTGCTTGTTCTCCCCTCTTCTGTTAAAAACCTTGAATCTTCCCCTATTCAGTTTGTGAATGTTCATGACTGGTTGACAATTGCTTCAATTTCTGCAATCTCCTTCGGACACTCATCCGATAAAACCTCTGCCTTTGAATCGGTTATCAATACGTCGTCTTCAATGCGGATTCCGATGCCACGATACCTCTCCGGTGCAGAACTATCATGCTCAGGTATATATATGCCTGTGGAAAAATAATAGGATTGTTTCTCTGAAAGAGGCTAAAGTCAAGAAAATATAAACACATGTAATGGCATTCCTCCCATAGGAATAGCAGTGGCGGATTCAAGGGGGCCCACTATAAATTGTTCAAAATTTTAAAAAATGGAGATATAAAGAAATTTATATCAGCCCCAACCATGGTGGGGCTGAGGTGATATAGATCCTCCATCTGTGAATGTACCTTCATGGGCTCCCTCTAGTTTGAATACCAGGATCCACCACTGAATAGCATTTACCTGGTTCAATTGTGACCACCATTCCTGGCTGCAGTTGGTTACTCCTTGAAACTTTAGTTGTGTCGTGCGTGTCCATCCCTAGGTAATGGCCAAGGTGGTGAGGACAATAGCATTTTGCAACCTGTTAAAAAAAAAACAATAAAATCATATTTGATTGTTCTCTATTAGTGAAGTACTCTACAATAGACCAATTTGTCAATGTTTGTTTACAGCTGGTCACGCGACATAACTCGGGTATACCGTGGAAACATTACAGTGCGATGTTATGTTTGCGAAAACAACCACCCACTGTTCATGTGAGAAATAAATGGCAAAGAAAGGCAATACAATTGCTCAAAATTTTAGTGTTCTAGATTGAATGCTTTAAAATTTAAATGACCCTTCATAAAACTTAGCTAGCCTTAAAATTGTGGCATAGTTCGCAGGTCGAAGACCCTTGTGCATACCTAACAGGCTGTAGAATGTGCAGGGGCCTAGGCCTAATTTTTGCGGCCAGTAAATAGAGCATTAGCAAACCATTAAGGCAAAATTCTTAAGTTCAATTTTCAACCAATTTGGTATACAGTTACACTTGCTTAAGTCGAATTTGCCTAACTCAAATAATAAGTTGATCTTGTTTTACATGCCGAATTGTTGTGTTTTGACTTAAATAACCATCTGTAAGTCAAATTTTATCTAAGCCGAACTATTTGTCAATGCATTTTTGGATTCAACTTAGGCAAGTTCAACTGTATTTTACTGGGAATTACGATGATCTTTACAGCAATAACAAGGACGGCTGCAATCTCCATGTAAAACACCGCTGTGCCAGTCCATTGTTTACATCTAACACCCAAGTTAGGTCACATGGTGCCCATCATTAAATCGGCCTATTAAATTTGCATGTCTGGTGAAACATTAAACTAGCAATTCACAAAACCCTCATCAATCATGCTTAGTTGTGATATGTCTTGGGTGAAAGTATTATTTACAGTATCAGCTTTATAAATGTGAAGCATCTCCCTGGTTCTACCCAGCCTGGTTCTCACTCATGTAGCATTTCCTCTTAAATGCTACATTTAAAATGTTGCAAATTTTACTAGTTGCTACCTTATATAATTCCATATGGTTCAATTTATCTGAAATTATGCCAAGATGCTGAAGCCCCTCTCCTATCCATGTCAACATTTGGTGATAAGCTTGGTCTAGCGTTGCCCCTTCACGACACATGTGGATACAGTTCTTCTGGATTCTAAGCACAAGTTCATATAGTTCACCTTGTGGCGTTGTATATCGTCCATTCACGGGCCATGTTCGTGTGACATCACTAGCATAGCCATGGTATTCACAGCCTGCATCCATCAGGACCAATTCATTATCATTCACAACTTGATTATTATTAATGTAGTGCAATATGTTGGCACGGTTACCACCAGCAACAACAGGTGGATAGGCAAGAAACTCAGCACCTGCAACTCGACACTCAAAGTCAATTTTAGCATACAATTCTGCTTCTCTGATTCCGGGATAAGATGCCTTCATCACTTTCACAAATGACCTCGCTGCTATGGAGGCAGATTCTCTTAACAGACGAATTTCAGCATCTGATTTCAGAACTCGTAATGAATGCATAGAATGTTCTAGAATGCTTATAGAATTCCCTTTTCTCCGACTTGGATTAATCAGCCCACTGATAACCTTATCATGTAAGTTTGGATGAACATTTTTGAAAACGTCGTACCAGATGGTGACATCATCTAAACGACTATAATTTTCTAATGCTTTGGAAAATTCATTAATGCTATATGTCTCATCAACGCAGAGAAAACGTTTGGCACCCTCGGTTCCTGCTCGTGGACCATCCCATAGTTCTCTATCAGGATCTCGGTCTGGCACAAACAAAACAGATTTGTGATGTTGCAGTACTTTTCCCGGAAGACTTTCAAGAACGAGGGCGCTATCAGGCTCCTGGAAGCCAGACAAGTATAAAAAGTTGGTACTTTGACGAAATGGGTATGGGATTTCATCAGTCATAAATTTCTTTTCACTTGAAAGAACTACAACAATGTGGTGTTTGCTCTCACTACCACTAGCCGAGCGACTTATTGAAGTCATCAGGGCATTTCGTCTTTGCTTGAACTCTGACCTAGAAATTCCCGGAGTGATGTCATCATGTGCCATAAGATGCTTATGTGCAAATGGTGTTGGTTGTCCTAAGTTTCTCTCAGGTATTTCAATGTTGGCTGCTGAGCTAAAACTTTTGCAATCTGTAGGTAATAAATGACAAAATTCAGAATCACGTTAAAAATAATTACAAGTATTTTATACCGTATACTATATAATAAATGACAAGTTTAGTAGTTACTTACTAAGCTTAATTAACCATATGATATCAAAACTAGACCTATAAGCCGACTTACTATACAACTATCCTGGCACTCTAATCAGCTGGCCTGGTGGTGTGTGACGAATCCCGTGTGTGATTCTGCGCCTGCTAACTGCTTGCTACGGCCTATCGTTTATCTATATGCCTAGCTAGGCCTAGATCTATTTATGCGGGTAGATCATGCCTGGCCTGATGAGACTGAGGCTAGCGTAATTTCTGAATTTTACAAAAGATCAGAATAGAACAACTCTTCCTAAACTTACTGATTTTTGCATTGGAGCTATTTATATTTGAAGCTGTCCCTTTATAATGTCTTATAAGATTTATAAATCTTTTTGAAAACATTTTCTCTATGCCCATCCAGAGTGTTTGTTTATAAAATTAACACAACCTTTAACCTCGCAACCTCAAAATGCATGAAGGCCTAGTTCGTTAGATAATTTTTCAGTCGTTTAAATTACTATATTGATGCATTTTATCTTAATATTAGTTTTATATTTGTATTTAATTGAATATTACTGTACTTTATTTATTAAAATGAAACATTATTATTATCTGTTTAATGAATTGTTGATTGACCCCTGATAAAACCTAGCACGTGCTAGAATTCGCCATGAGGATGCGACCGACATAGTAGTAGTATATCATACATAGTAGTATCTCTGGTAGATGTCATTGCAGCACAAAACACAATCGATTGTTTCTCAATGCTCAGTGGGAGCAGTTGACACATGTAATATACCATGCCTTTCTGCAAATTTGATGGTTGTTTTGCCAACTATGACAAGTTATGGAGGCTACAAGAACATGAATTGAAACATACTGGAGAGGTATGCAATATCATAAATGTCCATACTACTAATAAAAAATCTAGGCTCTGCTAGCTAGGTAGGCTCTGTAAGTCACTGTAGTAGGCCTCCTCCTACTAGTACTTTCACGAACCCAGCCGCGAAGCCATGCTTTCCCATGCCGCGCATGTGGAGACAATATCACTCAGGCCTAGGCCTACGGTAGGTGTGTGATAAGGCTCGGTATTAAGCAAGCTATCTTGGATATTATTGCAAAGCAATTTCAGACTGCACTGTACTTTTTATAAACCTCCCTGCCAGGGTTCCTGGTACTATCTATCGTAGTATTATTAAAACATAATTTGTACTCAGATGGTTCATCAAATCATATGATGGATGGAAGGGTCAAATTGATGAGAGAATAATGTCAACAATGAGTCAGTGATGGCAGTGTCACTGAAGTAATGATGGTGATGATGATAGTAAAATACTGTGTAGTGTATGCCTGCTGTTGAAATTGGCTTGCCTGGCCTTACTAGCCTAGGCCTAGTAGAAAAAGAGGTAAAAAGTATTGAGAAAGGCCTAACAGTAATATAGCCCTTTAAAAAATAATTTTAATTTAATATTTGATTTTGTTTCCTTACTGCACAGCGACCATTTGTTTGTACTTTTGAAGGATGTGGAAAGTCATATCGTAGAAGTTCGCATCTCAACAGACATGCAAAGTCGCACTCAGACCAGAAAGATTATGTGTAAGGAGATACATAATGTAACAAATTTTCAGAATGATAAAATTAGAAAATGTTTACTGTACACAAAATTGTTTTCAATATTCCTTTGCTATGCCATGGTCCCTTTCAAAGCTAAAGGTCAAAGTTTAATATTTCTTTTTACAGGTGTGTACAGGATGGGTGTCAGCATCGGTTTGTCAGTGCTGATAATCTCAAGAAACACTTGAAACGTTTTCATCAACAATGTCACAAAGTAAGTATAGAAAATAATAAAAAGTATAAAATAATAATAATGGCCAATAAAAATGTTTAGATTATCACTCCCTCATAAAAAATTTTTGAAATTTTGATGCGGTAATAAAAAACATTTTTTTTTTACCATATAAAAATAATGTGTGGTATGCGGAATATCCCTATCAAACTATGTCGCAGATGTTATAATGGCATTTTGTTATTTTAAATGTAATACACTTTACTAAATATGCAAATGTGTATCTTTCTTGTAAATAAGTGTTTCTCTTTAAATTATTTCTTTCATTTAAATATGCCTAGGCCTACTCCACATCATCCAATTTTAGAAAATTTAGAAAAACTAGAGTGATAATCTAATATTTTTTTCTGTCTGTCCTAAAAAAAAACAACTACCAATGGCAAAATAGTTATATGAATATTATTTGTTTTGCTAATATTATAAATCTAGTATAATATAGTATAATATATCAATATAATTATATAATAATAGTACATAATACTAATAAGTAATAGGAAGTGTGAATAACTATATTAATAATAAAAATTATAATAAGAATAAGCATTTTATATACAACAATTCAAGAAATAGTCAAGGCCACATTTTAGGTTTATAAGTAGACATGTAAAAATGGGTTTCATAGCTAATTTTAAAAAGTTGATTCTGAATTAAAGGGTGTGGTAAAAGTTGGTTTAGTTCATTAAATTCATTAAAAATAATAATAAAGATAGTAATGAAAATAATCAACTTAAAATATCGGTGGTATTAATGGTGAAGATAATATCTCGATACCTTGTTTCTTTAAAAAAAGAAAAATCTCATTAAATCCCCTTTATTTTTGTAGTGTGAATTTGATGGCTGCGGTGCAACATTCAAAAAGCGTCAGCAGCTCACGGTTCATGAGGTCATTCACACCGGTATCAATCGATATCAGTAAGCAAATGCTTATTAGTATACTGCCCTCTATGTTCACAATTCTCTTACATTGGCATGAAGATCCATTAATCTTTAAAATCATAAATTTTAAAGTGTTGTATGTATATTTTTAGAATCTCTTAGATACGGCTTAACAATGTTTTTTTTCTACGATTTTTGAAAATGTGTTATTCTATCTTTAACTATGCGTGCATCTTTTTGCAAAAGTGCATTTACTTGAAAATGATTTAGTTAACTTTTGGGGTGTCCCTGTCTCATGTTTTCCTTTATCGTTGTTTTTTAAATTGTAATGAATTAAAAGAAACAAATAGATAAAAATAGGCATATGCCACTTCGTCCTGTGTACCACATGGCTCATGTGCTTGTTAAAGGTCGGAGCACATTTTCGAAAAGAGCAGGAATTGTTTTGCGTTGGCCCTGTGATCAGTGATCAGCTAAACTGTGCTAGTTTCTCAACTAGAACAAATTGATTTACTGTACTTGACTTTTACTTTCTTTCCCTAATGTTTTATTATATTTTGTATGATGAATTAATATTTCTCTTTTATTAGTTGTGAGGTTGAAGGGTGTGGTATGCAGTTTCCTTTACCAAGCAAATTGAAGAGACACATGCAAAAACATGAGAGTAGGTTGATCAACAAAATTAACCTTTTAATCAAAATATTCCTTGACCTAATTCTTCCTGTTAGCTTAAATCACTTGTTGGCCCAATATATAGATCTTATAGTTAATATTCAGGAAAAGAATGTTCTATAAACCAATATACCAATCATGTTTACTTGTTTAAATTTTTCTATACCTTTGTTAAATTTTCTATATAAAAATAAGCTTTCCACTTCATAAGATGAAGTGTTAATTTGTTATATATTTCTTGCATTCTTTGAAGTTTCACTAAAAATTAGCAGGTTTTTTCTGAAAGTTACTGCATAATTATAATACATGTTATTATTTATGGAATTTTGTTCTCTAGTGAGGAATTGTCCAAAAGATGGTTGTAGTGAAACATTCAAGTCATGGTCTTTGCTGAGGAAACATCTAAGTACTGATCATTTAGATGGTATGTGCTGGATATTCTTGCATATAAATTATATAGTGGTTTTTATGTATATACATGTTAATGTACTTGTATTGCACTACAAATGTTAATGGCAGTGATTATTTTTGTTGTTGTTGAATTTGACATTGTTAATAAGATTTGTAGATATGCTTCTTGTGATCAATGATGAGGATAAATTTCACTTTTTTTTTTCTGAAAGGAAGATAGTGAAGTTATTATTTCTGAATTCTGACAACAAATGATGATTATTTGACCCCCTTTACTGAGGAACTGTCTATTTTTTTTTTTATGTAGAATTCAAGTGTGAATCATGCGGAAAAACATTTGGCAAGAATTACAAAGTATGTAAATAGTTAGAATTGATTGGAAAAGTGGTCAGTAACATTACTACTTTACAGATATGCAATTATGGTCAAGTTCTGAGGACTCTAGAAAATAGAGGCCGAAGGAGACATTATTTTCTGGAAAAAAAATAACCTGAAGGGCAGGGCTGAGAAGGAAATTTTTGAAGGAAATAATGGCTCCATTCATTTATTGAGCTTTTGCACGCAACAAATTGGAGGCACTATATCAAATTAGTGATTGATCAGGGATAGGAAGATTATGTGCAAATGAAAGTGATGATGTCATTACTGACTTGTAAATATTATTATCTTTTTTTATTTTCAAAGCTCCGCCTACATGAAAGAATCCACAAGGAGAAGGTTGACGTATTCCTTTGTCCAAGAGATGGCTGCGGAAGAACTTATACAAGGGTAAACATTCTTAAACTTCCATAGAAGACAAAGATCATTCTCAGAATATCTAGTGTTGATATCAATCAATGCAGGAGATAAACTAACAATTTTATTCTTAAAACTGAAGTTCCAAACAAATTTAGGCCCAATTTATACTACTTTCCAAACAAATTTAAGTCCAATTTAGACTTCTTTTATTATCCCCTTGAGTTCTTTCTTTATATTAAGGATTGCTTCTTTTCACAGGTGTCTTATTTACAAATGCATATCGACAACTACCATGAGGGCGCTAGACCATTTGTCTGTACCCACGATGAATGCACCAAAACATTTGCACATAAAGTTTCATTAGAGAAACACCAAGTTGTTCACATGCCTGGATATGTTAAACCACAACCAAAGGTACGTACTTAAAGCTGTGGTAAAACCAGGGGCGTATCTATGTAAGGTGCGGGGCGCACGCTCCTTAAAAAAATTGAATTATATGCATGGCTTGGATTACTTCCCAGGTAATATTGGAATTTGGAAATAGTGCATTATGACCTTAATTCTGTATTGATTAATCAGGGGAAAAAACAATTAATAACCTGTACAAGAAATACTATACAGTATAATTAAATGTAAATATAACAACTTTTTTTAAAAATACACAGCCAAGAAAAAAGCGGTCGACTGCATCAAAGATAAGCGGTGTAGTGGTTTATACCAAGCTCGAAGTTGAAAACCGTACATGCCAGATGTCGGATGTTGAAGATGATAACATGACGCACGTTAAAAATCTTCAAGCAGAACTTGGTAGTCTTTGTACAAATGATACAAAGATAGATGCTGATCAGAATGCAAGTTTAGCCTTTGATAAATGTCAACGCAGCGAAAGGGAAAAATCAACCTTGCCTCCCTCAGAGGACAAAATAGAATCTATGCGTCAAAGTAACCATCTGGAATCATTGACATCTGAGAGTGGAAACAAGAGCGAGCAGATATATAGTGAAGTACACAAGTACAAGAATTTAGTGCATGAAAAAATGTCAAATTCTGTGGCAATTAGCATTTTAGAGAGTATAGAATGCCAGTAATTATGGCATGAAATCATACAATTAAAGAAATAATTGATTATTGATAATTTAATTACAATATAAAGGTGCAGAAATATATATCCATTCTGTTATATTTTATTAAGGATTCAAATTTCAGATATATTTATAATGTTGTATTTTTTAAGTTGGTTGATTCAACAGACGGAATACTGTATTGCCATTTAAGTGAATTATATTTTAAGAAATTATATTTTACAAAAGTGAAAGAATTTCTTTTTAAATCCATATGCCAAAAGTGATATTTTAAATCCTTGCACTAGTATTGTAAATATTTTCTCAGATTGTGGGATTATTTGCCTCACAGTATTGGGGGTATAGACAAAATTCAAATTTACTTTATAAAGCTTTTAAGGAATTATGTGTTGAAATGATAGAATATACAAGTACTTATTTGAAGAAATGTTCTGTTTAATTCCAGCATTTGGCTATGTGGTAAAATGCTCACATTGTCAATTAATTTTTTGGGAATTTGCTTCAATGGAAATTTAGAAAAAATACTGTAGTAACTGTAGTAAACTGAACCAGGGTATCTATCATCAATTTTATTGTTATTCATGTTCTGTTTAACTTGAGCATTTGGCTATGTGGTAATGTGGCTTTTCATGAGTGAAAAATGCTTTCATGTTCTACTATATTTTTTGAATTTGCTTTGTTGAAATAAAAAGAAAATACCAAACTGTACGAGATATCTATCACTTTTATTGCCATTCAATATTTTTGAGACAATTTGACATTTTCCTTTATATTCTGTTTATTCATTTATTGATTCTCCTTCTCCTTCCTGTGTTTAATTTTTTCCTTGGCTGACATATGGCGCAGTGTCACTCTTATTCCGTCTCCATCTTTGCCAAATTTTGATGGTGGTGCATTAATTGTGACGTCATTTAACCCATCCAGGATTTCATGGATAAGCTTCATCTGTGAAGAATGAATGGAAATGCGTTAAAAAAATGAGGTTCTAAATTCTCTGGTTCTGTACTGACCCCAAAAGTGACATCAGAATAGTACAATAATATTCTGCCCACACTATCAATACTCTGGCAGTGGCTGTGTCAGAAATTTCCTGACGAGTGGTCCAAGGTGACTGGTCCAGGTAAGGGGTCTAAATTCACCTTGGGTGCTCCACCGTGTTTCAAGCAAATTCAAGAATACACTTATCACAGAAATTGCACTCTCGGCCTGTGAAACTGCTTTTTAAAGCAGTGTTCCAGTATTTCTCCTCGACAGATGTCATGGAATCTTGCAGGTGCTTCCACTGGCTTTTGAGACAAATACACAATTTGCTCAGATGGATGTCATATGACTACAGCATGCCTATATATGGCCAAATCAGATATCTTCATATAAAGACCAGTCAAGACTCAAATTTTATTTCACAAAAACTTGTAACATTAGGCACATAATGACTAATATTATATGGACATACAAAAGTTTTTTTGTCAAAGAAAATGTTACAAGTATGGACAGAGTTTTACTTGATAGTGTGAATATGGCTTAATCCAGATCTCACCACCTATATATGGTAATGATGCTTGAGGATAACTAAAATATACCTTGTCTTCTACTGTGGTTGGGGCTCCTGCAGTCTTCTTATGCATTACTGTTATTCGGACATGATACTGATGCTCAGAGCGCTCCATCCAGTTCTGGATCTGTCTCGTCTTAATCATCAGGTCGTGCTTGCTGATATTATCCGAGATAGTCATTTCCTTTACCTCTGTCTGTCTCTTTTTATCCTGAGTTTCCTTAGCCTTCAACCTTTCCTGATGGAGTTCGGCCCCAGACATAAGTCTGTACGAGGGATTTGGTTTGGATTTGGGATTAACTAGAACCAGTTTCATGTTGGATTGTTTACTTAGTTTCATGGCTTCGTTCCGGGTTACACCAACGTGAGTATTTCCACTAGCATCAGTAATATCCAGAATAGAATGCGGGATGAATCTGCCTACACTTTCAAGTACATTTACGCCAGACACATTTTTATGTTTATGCCCAAGTTTTGATTTTCTTCTATCATCATTGTCTTCTGGAATTGCCATATTATCAGAAGCACCATCAATGAAACTTTCAGTAGATGACAGCATCCTGGGTTTTGCATAAAGGTGAAACTTGCTCCCAATTTGTGACAATTGTATAGTTTGTAATGTCACATGATTATGTCTTGTATGTAGTGCCACACGTTGCAAAGTACATCTTGAAAATTTTTTAAAGCCAATCAGTAGAGGGAGTGTTTTTGGTGGCCATGCCCGCATCACAAATGATGAAATAATCAACGCAACTGCCATGATAGCATTGCTCTTCAAATAGGATTCCTGATGGGGAAAAAAAAGACAAAATATTAATTTGAAATCATCATCATGCATAATTTCCTGAAGGTCCTCAAATTTGTTCCCCTTTCATTTGATCACTGAAGTGACTTACTTTTTTCTAATTTCAACTTTTTTTTTTATAGAGGGTAGCCCTTCCAGCTGAACCTGAAGACCAGTTTTTGTTCAGGGGCCCTCTTTAAAATTTCAATAAAATATATATAATATACAAAATGAGGCCTAGATAATTATACACCAACAAGACAATAAACAATAGTCAAAACAGCATTATTATAAGTAGTAGTAGTAATAATAACAACAATAATAATAATAACTAGCATCTATCTGTGCTTCGCACGGTGTTGGATGAGTGGGGAAAGGTGGCAATGTATATTGTTTAATACTATGGGAAGTCGTTAGCATGTCATTATTTTTCTAAATGACGCCTTTGTACAGTAGATAATCTCTTTTTAGATGAGTGTTTCTGAGGAATTATTGTCCAATTTGATGAAGGGCAGATCCAGAATTTTTCAAACGGGGGGGGGGGGGGGCGGAACAACAGCTTTAGAATAGATAAGTGAGTACCACATCCATATCTTCTGCTATTTATTAGTAGAAGACTAGGCCTGTCTGGTAGAAGCATATGGCTAGGCTAGCCCTAGCCGAAATTTAGGCCCTGTTTTCGGCCTAGCTTTTAATATCATGACCTGTGCCCTGATCAATTTGTAAAGCATGCCATTTATTGCTGATGTATTTGAGGCATATAGACTACATATTCAGTATACAACGGGTTGGTGTGTGGGATGCTGCTCATATTTGTTGACGTGACCGTGAGGTATGTACGGTAATGAAGCTGCAAGACAGACTGTTTTGTTTACGGCCTGATGCGATATTTTTAAAATCTGAGCACTGTGGTACAGATTAACATAGGGGATTTATTTATGTGACGTAAGCGACT